CATAGCAATATCTATCTTTAGAGGATTCAGTTTCTTTCTGGCTTCTGTTTTGATTAGTTTATATGTCTTTTGTTGCCTACAAATATATTCGTTCATTGAGTACCTAGTCGGAACCATGCACTGTGCCAGCCTCCAGTGGAACAATTGTGAACAAGAGTGGTAGGTTCCAGCAGTCATGTTTATATATATATTTTTAAAGATTTTATTTATTTATTTGACAGAGAGAGACACAGCGAGAGAGGGAACACAAGCAGGGGGAGTGGGAGAGGGAGAAGCAGGCTTCCCACGGAGCAGGGAGCCCGATGCGGGGCTTGATCCTAGGACCCCGGGATCATGACCTGAACCTAAGGCAGATGCTTAACAACTGAGCCACCCAGGCGCCCGGCATGTGACTTTTAAATGTGAAAAGAGCCATTGGAAACTTTTGAGCAGGGGAATTACATGAGCTGATTTGTCCTATAATTATCACTCTATGGAGAACAGATTGAATAGGGGCAAGATGGGAAGAAGGAAGACCAGTTAGGAGGTTATTTTTCTTTTGTCCCAGTTGAAGATGATAGTGGTTTTGATTGGAATGGTAGTGACGGGAGGTAGAGTTAGATTCATGGTAGATGTGCCCAGTACATGTTGGTCTGCTCCTCTGTGTGGATACTTTCCTCACCTTACTTGGATTTCAACAACCTGCCTGAGGCTGCCCCGATCAGTGGATGCCCTCTTTACCCGGATTGGACTCCTCACACAGCGTCCTTCCCCCAATATGGATAAGAAGCATCTTTGTCCTTTAATTGATGTTCTTTTATCCATCTACATTTAAGTAATTTTCTTATGTATTCAGGTGCAAATCTACTGTCTTCCTAATTTTTTCCATTTGTTCAACTTATTCTTTCTTCCTTTTCTTCCTCTCCTGCCTTTTCTGGATTAATAAAATATTTTGATTTTAGCTTTTGCCTCTTGAGTGTATTAGTTACATATACTTTTAGTTTTCTTCTCAGAGTTGCCCTAGAGATTAAAACATGGATTCTTTACTTACTACATTGTACCTTAAATTAATTCCTTTATATCTTTCCCAGTATCGTGAAGATATTAGTAACATTCTATTTAGTTAGTTTTATTTATTTATTTGAGAGAGAGAGAGCACAAGCAAGGGGAGCAGCAGAGGGAGAGGGAGAAGCAGGCTGCCCGCTGAGCAGGGAGCCCGATGCGGGGCTCGATCCCAGGACCCTGGGATCATGACCTGAGCCGAAGGCAGATGCCTAACGCCTGAGCCACCCAGGCACCCCAGTTTTGAAAAATTCTTGGTTGTTATATTTTCAAGTATTGTTTCGCATTTTTGCTCTTCTCTCTTTCTGGGACTCCGGTTACACATATGTGAAACCTTTTTAAACTGTTGCATATATCTTTTATGTTCTTTTCTGTTTTTTCCTTTTTTCTTATTTTTTATTCCTGTGCTGCTTCTATAAACCCATTTCCTAGTTCACTGATCTTCTTTTCTGCTAAGTCTAATCTGTTAAAGATATCTGTTAAATTCTTAATTTTAGCTATTGTATTTTTCAATTATGAGATTTCTGTTTGGAGATATATATATACACATATATACGTATTTTTTATACATACATATAAATATATGCTTTTTTAAAAGATTTTATATATACATATATAATTTGTTTTGCTTTTTTTGAGAGATTGGAGGGGTGAAGGAGAGGGAGAGAGAGAATCTTAAGCAAGCAGTACACCCAGTGTGGAGTCTGACACAGGGTTCGATCTCACAACCCTGAGCTCATGACCTGAGCTGAAACCTAGAGTCAGATGCTTACCCGAATGAGCCACCCAGGACCCCTCTTTTTTTTTTTTTTTTTTTAAGATTTTACTTATTTATTTGACAGAGACACAGCAAGAGAGGGAACACAAGCAGGGGGAGTGGGAGAGAGAGAAACAGGCTTCCCGCTGAGCAGGGAGCCGGATATGGGGCTCTATCCCCGGACCCTGGGATCATGACCTGAGCCGAAGGCAGACGCTTAACAACTGAGCCACCCAGGTGCCCCAGGACCCCTCTCTTAATAGACTTCATTTTTAGAGCAGTTTTAGGTTGACAGCAAAATTGAGCAGATGGTGGAGATTTTCCACATATTCCCTAAGAGTTCATTATTTTTGCAAATTAGTGGGAATTGACATCTTTTTTGTGTTTACATTTTTAAAATACTTTATAAGTCTAGTTAATTAATAAAATATAATTTATGTACATTAAAATTCACTCTTTTTAGTACCTAGTTTTAGGAATTTTGGAAAATGATACAGTTATGTAACCACCATAATCAAGAGTTTAGAATAGTTTCAAAGTCTCTTCATGTTTCATAGTGATGAGACTTTTGAGTCATTTCAGCAGTTTTATACATTTGTACTGTAGTCATAGAAAAAAACCTTTCTTATCTCTCCTACCCACTTGTCCCCATATCTTTGCTTATTTCATTCAACTTTTAGATTTTCTCATGCAAGTCCCCCATTATCTTTGGATCATTAGTTTTGAGCCTATATCCAACATAGCCTTTATTTTTACTCTTTTGCACTCAGGTGATCCCAAGTACCATTCCATGTTTGACAGTCATTCTGCTATACTCATTATCTGCCCATGCCTTTTTGCTCAAGATTTCATAAGCCTTTCAGTGTTAGGATTATTGAAAGATACTTGTAATTTTCTGGGAAGTACAAACCTTGCTTTAGCTATATAGAATGGGAAGGAGCACCTAGAGGAGGTATGAAGGAACAAAAATTTGAGTAAATGTAGCACTGATAAGTAATAGTATAAACCCTAGTGGAGAAAAATAAAACATTGTAGTACTTTTTTTTTTCTTTAGGTAAACACTACTCCCAACATGGGGCTCAAACTCACAACTCCCAAGATCAAGAGTTGCATGCTCCACTGACTGAGCCAGCCAGGCACCCCTATTGTAGTACATTTTAAAAGTTTAGAAACAGATGTACATATTCATTAGTGATTATGTAATTATAGGAATAAATGAGTAATATCCATTGTGTATTTGGGGTTTGTTATTTAATGGTAAATGGACTTTAGAGATTGTTTCTGCCACTAGGGAAGCTTAGGGGTAAGAAACTAACAGAATACCAAAGAGAAAATTAATAAATATTCCAAAATTGGGACAAAGAAGAGCAACCTGTTGCTGGGATAGAATATAGAATGCATAGTTTTAAACAGGATCAGCAGGAATGGCTTTTTGGAAGAAGTGATTTTTGACTGAGACCTGATGAAGGAAAGCCAACCATGCAGGCAGAGAATTTCTCAAAGAAGGAACAACCTGTGAAAGGTCCTATTTAATGGGAACAGTGGTAGTGCCTTTTGTGAGCTGAAAAGAGGCCTTTGTGGCATAAACAGAGTAAATGAGAGGTGTTGATAAGCAGATAAGCAGCTTATTATCTATGTTCAGGTATTTATATTTGATTCTAAATATAAAGAGAAAGCATTAAAAACATTTAGAGAGACTCAAATATTGATCAGCATCAGAATCATTTGCTGGAGAATTTAAATAAGTACAAAACAAAAACATGCCCAGGACTTAATCCTGTAGTTTATGTTGCAGTCCGTTAAAAATGCCTCTGTATAGTTTTAAGAAATCTTCAGATAATTCTTATCACTGATGTAACTTCTTTCCCTAATCACCAATCTTACCTCCAGTCCTGGACTCCATTCTCTGTGTTGCCTTTGCCTTTTTTTCTCTTTTTTTAACGTATGAGAATACAGTGTGTTCCATAATACAATTAATAACCCTCAATACAAATTAGCTTAATAATGATATGGAATAGGGAATGATAGCAGTATAGTGTGAGAGTTAGGTGGTTCACAGGTCATTTTCCTACTTGAATGAAGCCAGAATAGAAGTAGACTTATAACATTCAGCAGGAAAGGCAAAGTGTTCAATGTGATATTTTATTGTTGGTGGCCCTTTCACCTCTATATGAAAAAAATCAATAATAAGTGTCTGGATCCAGGACTTTCTCCCCAGAGATAGATGCCATCAACCTTGCATGGCTTCTAGCTGGAGACAGGTCACATTTTACCCTATTCCCACCTTAATGGTAGCCTTGCTGGCTCAGGGGTTTTTTTTTGTTTGTTTTGTTTTGTTTTGTTTAAGATTTTATTCATTTATTTGAGAGAGAGAGAGAGCACAAGCAGGGGCAGCTACAGAGGGAGAGGGAGAAGCAGACTCCTCACCGGGCAGGGAGCCCAACATGGGACTCGATCCCAGGACCCCGGGTTCACGACCTGAGCTGAAGGCAGAGGCTCAGCTGACTGAGCCACCCAGGCGCCCCTCAGGGCTCCTTGTTCATTGCAATGTCTCAGCATCTGAAATCTAGCTTTTCTACTTTTTTGTGTGTGCATTTCAGTATCCATGAAGTGGCCTTCAGCCATGTTGAACTGCCTTTTGAGTTTTATCTCTTGAAATATCAATTATTATATTTGTTAGCGCTCTGCCAATAAAGTTGCATGGGTTTGAGTGGTCTTCTCTAGCCCTGTTTTCTTCATAAACTCTTAATTTTTTGGTGTGTAATTTTGCAGAAGATAAGGGTTTTTTTAGGTACACATATGTGGTATTGTAGCAGAAATGCCCGTTTTAGAGATCTCTAATCCATTCACTTGTAATAAGCATTATTTTAGGTGCCTTTTATTTCTCTATAGAAGTCTTTCTTCTGTCGCAGGAAAATAGTGTGTGTTTGCCTTCTGTTTTCTTTCAGATTTGGAGTCCAGATATAGGACCAATACTTTATCTCCAGAAAAGGACATTTATGAAATATATTCATTCCAGTGGGAGATAATGGAAAGAATTAAAAGCTATAGTCTTCAGGACTCCATTTTTAGAAATGATTGGGAATGCAAAGGCAAGATTGAGGGGCAAAAGGAACCACAAGAGGGATATTTTGGGCAAGTGAAAATTACTTCTGAAAAAATGACCACTTACAAAAAGCATAATTTTCTTGCTGAATATCAGAGAGTTCATAATGGAGAAAAGTTGTATGAATGTAAGGAATGTAGAAAGACCTTTATTCGTCGCTCAACACTTAGTCAACATCTGAGAATTCATACTGGTGAGAAACCTTATAAATGTAAGGAATGTGGGCAGGCATTTAGACAGCGTGCGCACCTTATTCGACATCACAAACTTCATACCGGTGAGAAGCCCTATGAATGTAAGGAATGTGGGAAGGCCTTTACAGTGCTCCAAGAACTTACTCAACATCAGAGACTCCATACTGGTGAAAAGCCCTATGAATGTAAGGAGTGTGGAAAGGCCTTCAGAGTGCATCAGCAACTTGCTCGACATCAGAGAATTCACACTGGTGAGAAACCCTATGAATGTAAGGCATGTGGGAAGACCTTTAGGCAGTGTACACACCTTACTCGACATCAGAGACTTCATACTGCTGAGAAGCTCTATGAATGTAAGGAATGTGGGAAAGCCTTTGTATGTGGTCCAGACCTTAGAGTACATCAGAAAATTCATTTTGGTGAGAAACCTTATGAATGTAAGGAATGTGGAAAGGCTTTTAGAATATGCCAACAACTTACTGTCCATCAGAGTATTCATACTGGTGAGAAACCCTATGAATGTAAGGAATGTGGGAAGACTTTTAGACTAAGGCAGCAACTTGTTCGCCATCAGAGAATCCATACTCGTGAGAAACCCTATGAATGTATGGAGTGCTGGAAGACCTTTAGTAGTTACTCACAACTTATTTCACATCAGAGCATTCATATTGGTGAAAGACCTTATGAATGTGAAGAATGTGGGAAGGCCTTTAGATTGCTCTCACAACTTACCCAACATCAGAGTATTCATACTGGTGAGAAACCTTATGAATGTAAGGAATGCAGAAAACCTTTTAGACTGCTGTCACAACTTACTCAGCATCAGAGTATTCATACTGGTGAGAAACCTTATGAATGTAAGGAATGTGGTAAGGCTTTCAGACTTTATTCATTCCTTACTCAGCACCAGAGAATTCATACTGGAGAGAAACCCTACAAATGTAAGGAATGTAAGAAGGCCTTTAGACAACATTCACACCTTACTCAACATCAGAAAATTCATAATGGGGTTTAGTATGAGAAAGCCTTCAATTGTACATTATGTTACAGAATATCTGAAAATTCATTTTTGAGAAATTTGCTTCATGCTTCAACTAAGCATAAGAAATTTTATATTATTGAAAAAAATATGTTGCTTTAAAAGCCTTCTATCACCATTCAGACATTGTTTATCTTCAGCAAATTTGTATGAGGGAATAATATAATGAATGTAGGGAAATCTTTAGCCTTATCTATCATTATCCCCATTTCACTCCTTTCTTACAGTGTGTTATTGGACAAGGTACTTAAACTTCTGTGCCTCATTTTGCTCACTTGTAAAACGGTGATAATAGTACCTATGTATATTAGTTATTTATTGCTGTGTAATAAATTACCACAAACTTAGTAGCTTAAAATAATATACATTATCTCACAATTTCTATGGGTCAGTTGTCTGGGCATAACTTTGTTGGGTCTTCTGCTTCAGGGTCTCGCACAGAGCTAAACTAAAGGTTTCAGCCAGAGTTGGGTCTCATCTGAAGGCTCAACAGGGAAAGGGATCCATATCCAACCTCACATGGTTGTTGGCTCTTGCACTGAGGTCCACAGTTTCTAGCTGGCTGATGGCTGACCTTAGTTCCTTGCCACATGTGTTTCTTCAACACGACTGCTTATTAAGTGTGCAAGCCAAGAATGCAGTAGAGTCTACTAGCATCATAGAAGCTATAATCTTGTATGATCTAATCACCAGAGTAACACCTTTTCGTCACTTTTGCTGTATTCTACTGGTTAGAAGCAGGTTACTGGGTCACCGCACACTCAAGGGTAGAGGATTACACAAGAGTATGAATACCAGGCTGTAGGGACCATTTCAGAGTCAGCCTGCCACACTGTGTAATAGGATTGTCTTAAGGATTAAGTAGTTAATGCTTGGAAAAATAGCAGCCACATAGCATGTTTTCTGTAAATAATATCTATAATTGTTATCATTAGTGTTAGTGAATTCATATGAAAGGAATTTACTCTAGAAGTAGTAAATGTAGAAATGCCTCATGTCACTGCTCAGTACTTAACTAAACTTAAGATAATTTATTCCAGATAAAATCTAAGAGGTTATATTGAATGTGGGAAGTTCTTCATCATTTGAGCTGCATCAATCATTTTGTGCTGAAAAGAATGTCACGAATGTGAGGTTAAGAGTACAACTGTTGAAGAATCAGAAAAATACGAAATTATTTTCCCATAATAAATTCCAAAAAGTAAATGTTTTGCAATCCCTATTGCCTGGCCACTGTTAAAGCTTAATTAGAAACATCAAAAAGATGGCAGAAAGGAAACCAGTTGGAAATTTAATAATGTGCGTGCGTGCGTGTGTGTGTGTGTGTGTATACATGTATGTAAAACTCATATAAAAGATCATCATTCCATTACAGGCAGTGTATGGTTTGATGTTCAAATTGCCCCATCTTCAACCAGTGGGAGTTGGGTCTTTTGACATGACCCCACTAGTAGTTTGATAGTTTACTTGGTTATGGCTGCAGTCTGGTCAGCAATGGAAGATGCTTGGGCACCAACTCATCCTGAAAATTGGTAAGGGGAAAAATAAGCATTTATTTTGCTTTTTCCTTGTGAACCAAGTTTCAGGGCCACCAAAAGCTCCTCAGATTAAAAGGTTTTTGTTTTGTTTTGTTTTTAAGAAATCAGTAAATATGGAAAGAATGGTAGGATTAGAAAAATCATTTTCTAGTTCCCTAATGGGATAATGGGTCCAGAAAATGATCTTCAGTGGATATTAAAACTATTGGGTGAAATATTTTATAGTGAGAACTTTCAAGCTGACCACCTCTGAGCCCTTTGATCAATTTTAACCTCTTTAAAAGTGGGACTATCAGACAATATCCACATCCTGATAAAATGCAATACAAAATACACACCACTGCCTACAAAGCCTTATTGCCAAAACAGTGAACTGAAGGAAGCAAACCTTTGAGTCAAACTCTTTAAAAATGAGAATTTGGGGAATAGATGAACAAAGTAAATGGCACCACAAGGAAGTAGCCAAGCAGATACAGAATGCGTAAAATTCTAAGAAACAAATGACCCTGATTTCTTCAACTAATGAGTGGCATGAAAAAGAAAAGGGGAAGGGCAACAATTAATAGATTAAAAGAGACTTAAGAGACCTATCAACTAAATTTAGTACATGGGCATTGCTTGGACCTAGTTTGAACAAAATGTAAAAAGACATTTTGGAGACAGTGGGGAAAATGTGGACATGCACTGAGTATTACCTGATATTTAGAAATATGTTGTTAGGGATGATAATATCAATGTGGTTATTAAAAGATAAAAGGTTCTATGTGTTAGAGATACATACTTACATACTTAAGAAATGGTAAGATACCAAATCTGCTTTATATACTCTAGCAAAGGAAAAAGAATTGGCAAAGAGAGCTGGGAAGTAGGTTAGCAAAATGTTGATAATTACTGACATGGAGTGGTTTGCTTTGGGGAGTTTATTGTTCTAATATTTCTACTTTTTTATGTGTTTGAAAGTTTCAGTAATAAAATGTTTAATATCAAAACTGAAATTTATAGACTACTTAGAAATGATTGTTGAGATGTGTGCATCTAAACATGTCAGATGTCACCAAAGTTCTGTTCAGTGAAAAATTCATCCCCTTTAATGCATTATAAGGAAGTTTTATTTGTGGACCCAGTCTTCATCATCTTCACCTTATCCATAGCAGTCAACACAGGGCCTGTCACCTAAATAAATGTGTCAAGGGAATGAATACTTAATCAAGAAACCAGAAACAGAACAGAATAAAACCTACAAAAGAGAAGCAAAGCATAACTAAAAATAGAAATTAAGGACTAGACAGTAGATTTAATCCAGTACTAATGATAAGATTTTGGAAGATCCAATCAAGAAAAAGAAAATGAAAGATAATGCCTTTGGAATATTGACCGTGATAAAGGTGACATAGCTACAGATTATCCAGAAAATTTTTTTAATTACAACACAATACTATATATATGTGCTATATTTATTCTAATACCTAAAATATAGGTACTTTTTTTTTCTGTAGGAAGGTTATGAAAATTGACTCAAATAGACCAAGAAGCAAATGTGTATGTATATATGAACTCCCTGCTTAAGAAAGAAAAAGTCTGATAGTTGTGCAGGTAAAAGCTTTAAGAAATAGATAATCCTTCACAAAATTCTCCAATTAATTCTGCACAGCCAAAATAATCCTGATACAAACCTGAATGAAGATGGCTCCTAAAAAGCAAAACCTAGACCAGCTTCATTTATGAATATTCTATTCATCTTAATTCTATTTAGAATTAATTACAAAATCAGTCTTCACTAATAGATCCATGTATTTACCTTTCCCAAGTTTCAGATATCTCCAGGAGAGCCAGAGTGTAAGACCTTAACCCAGCGTTCTCCACAAACTTGTTTTGGGATATTCTAGTCCTTGATGATATTTGGGAAAAGATTTCTTAGGAAAATGTGTAAATGCAGCAGAGCATTTGCTTGTGGGGAAATCCAAGTACACATCATCAGCTTGTCAAAAGATACAGTAAAGAGATTTTTATTTTACACAGTGTATCTCAAACTTACTTCATTGTGGAACTCTCATTCCCAGTATCTCCTACCATCTTTAGAATGTGAGCCACTTTGATAGATGCTTCCATTGCCACAATGAATGTCTTTAAGACCATCATTTGAGACATTACGGTGAGTGAGTGTGTTGGCAGGGGGTGAGGAAAGGGCACTTTTCTTTGTAACTCACGTCATATTCTGAAAGCTGCCTGCTTGAATCTTGAGGGCTAGTGCTTTTCTATAGAATGTAAAAGATTCTAGCTTGGTCCTTGATATGTATATATTAAACATGCTTAAATATTCTGTTAAGTAGTGATTAGGACATAAACGATTTTTCATTGTAATAAAAATGCTATATTAAATATCATTTCGTGTATTTTCTGATTTCTTTGAAGAGTGAAGAATCTAAGGTGCATATCTAGAGGGGAAATTGTTCTCTGTAGGTTGTACAGACTCTCCACTTTACATGTTGCCAGATGGTTGCTCCATCACTGCACTAATTTTGCATTTCTCTAATCACTGAAACAAGCATCTGGATTTTCCTACTTTTATTATTGGTTTCAGTACTTCCCTGATTACAAGTGACTTGAGCATCTTTTTCATGTGTGTTTATTGGTCAGTCATGTTTCTCTTAACAGTGCTTTTTTTAATTCATGCATTTTCTCTATTTCTTTGGGGTTATCTCATTGATTTTTCATGATATGTAAAATATTCCAGATACTACACATTCATAAATATTGGTATTTTTTCTCAAGGTGACTTGTGTTATGACTGTGTTATGGCATTTACTGTTTTGCTCACATTTTAAATTTAGATATAGTTTCATTCTCAACCTTACCAGATAATCTTACTCTTTTTATTTCTAGTCTTATATTTTTCTGCCATGTGTTCATGGCATTTGCAAGTAGAAAAGATTTCTCTCAATATTTATATTTCTCATAGCAGTAGCTGGTATTTTCAGAATAATGTTGAGTATTAGTGGGGATACATTTCTCTCATATTTTTTCCAATTTAATGGAAATCATGTATCTGTTTAAACATTTTGTGTAATGCCTTTTGATTATATAACTATTTTCATTCAGTCCCTATTTTACTTGATGCCTGCTAGATTTTGTCAGAAGCCATCTTGTCATCCATTGGTGTGAACATGTTTTTCTCCTTTAATTTGCTGATGTGATGAATTATACAAATCTCTTTGACAATTTCAGGGGTTCCTATGACCACTCTTAGGTTCAGGAATTCAGTAGAACAACTTGCAGAACTCAGGAAAATACTGCACCTATGATTAGTTTTACTATGGTGAAAAGATACAAATTAGAATCAGCTAAAGGAAGAGATGCATGGGGCAAACCATGGGAGGGATCCAAATGTGGAGCTTCCAGTCATCCTTTCCCTGTGGAGTCAGGGATGGCATTACCTCTTCCTGGTTATGACATGGGATAATTCCCACAGGAAAGCTTGCCTGAGCCTTTGGTTGCCAGAGTTGTTCCTGGGGCTCAATTACATTCTTCCCATGAGGCTGATCTCTAGTCTCCAGCTCCTTCTGAAGGTTCAAACTCTTACCTTTAGTCTCCAGTTCCTCCAGAGGTCACAACTGATAGTGTGTCCTGAAGCCCCCATCATAACTCACAGCCTAGTCTGGTGGCCAAAGCTCCCAAGCAAACAAAGATATTTCTATCAGGCAGGACATTCCAGGGTCCCAGAGATCATCTACAAGTCTAAAAATATGCCTTTGCTTGTAAGTAAACTGCTATATGTTCATGCTCAAATGCTTTTGTTGAGAGGGTACTTGATGTCGTCACCTTGGGCTGACACCAAGAATCTGTGTAACGTGGGCTTGATAAAAACAGAGCCACAAGTCAAAGGGAATTTTGTTTTGCCTATATTCCTTTTTACCAATATACAAGAAAAATGATGTCTTAGTTCTTAGTTCTCCTTGGAAAAGGAGATGAGTAAAAATATCCTGTTACACCAAAGGATAGAAGGAAACATGTCATTAATTTTTCTTGTACATAGGTAATATATGCTTAATTGGTTCTATTATTATATTTCCATTCTCCTTTTTAAATGTCTGACATCTTTGTGTCTTTTTTTTTCTTTTTATTTATTTGGCGGGGAGGGGCAAAGGGAAAGGGAGGACTTCAAGCAGACTCCACACTGATCATGGAGCCCAGTGTGGGGCTCAATCTCATGACCCGGAGATCATGAGCTGAAACCAAGAGTCAGACGCTTAACTGACTGAGCCACCCAGGCACCCCTGACATCTTTGTGTCTTAATGTACAATAATGGGGCACCTGTCAGGCTCCCTGCTCAGTCTCCCTCTGTCTGCTGCTCCCCCTGCTTGTGCTCTCTCTCTCTCTCAAATAAATAAAATCTTAAAAAAAAAAAAAATCCTTTAAAAAAAAATGAGGCATGTGGCTAGCTCAGTCAGTGGAGCATGCAACTCTTGATCTCTGGGTTGTGAGTTCCAGCCCCACACTGGGTGTAGCAAATACTTAAAAATATATATACAGTAATATGGACTACAAAATTTGTTTCAAAATAGAGTTAAATTGTTGAATCAGAGAACAGAAACAGTATAAAAACTTTTATTTTCTTATTTTTATTTAATCCTACTAATAATTATTACTAATTGCTACTGTTAATTAGTCCTATAGTTTTGTTTAAATGATAGTGTGGATGTGACAAAAGTAAATAAGACAGTAATATTTAATTTCAAATAAATCCTTTTCATATTAATACATGTGTATTATTATTATATATCATATTGTTATGGGAAGCTTTTTGTTTCATATGGCTGAGCCCCAGCTTGCCTCTCTAAAAAGTTGATCATTCTATTATCCGGCGCCCAGTTCAGATTTAAGCCACAGTCCCAGATTTTGGCTCATCCATGAGCACATGCACACACGCACAATTTAAGCTAGACTTCCTATTTGCTATGCTACAAACGACATATCCCAGGGTATTTTGGTGGTTATCTTCTTACCCTATATTTCATTTCAGTGGGAGGAGCAAGAGATTTTGATAAAGACATATTTGAAAGGAAAACCAATAATCTGGAAGTGTCTATTCATTAAATAATTCTATATTCAGGTTTCATTTTAATTGATTCCCATCAATTCCCTAAGTTTTTGTGTGGCTCTTGATTGAAGCAAGTCTTAAGGTCAATCTCAACTATGGGAAAGATGTCCCTCGTCTCTAAAAACCTGGTCTTATAGGTCGTATTTTTTAAAACAATAGGTTCTTCTACCTTTCCATTATTCAGGTGTATCATCCTTCAGACTTCTACCTCTTCAGTAACCCAATATTACTCATGATTTCTCTGCTGTAACCAATACATTCGGAATCTCAGCCTCTGGGCCCTATTTGCTTTTTTGAGATAAGTACTGACATGCAACAAAAACCTTCAGTCTTACTTATTAGATATTTCAAAAAGAATATACAAGAGTGGCTAATATGCACACAAAAGGATGCTCAACATCATTAAAGTTATCATGGAAATGCCAGTTAAAACCACGAGGGGATTGCCTGGGTGGCTTAGTTGGTTAAGCATCCAACTCTTGGTTTCAGCTCAGGTCACTATTTCATGGGCCGTGAGATCGAGCCCCATGTCAGGCTCTGTGCTCAGTGGGGAGTTTGCTTGAAGATTCTCTCCCTTCACCCCTCCCCTCACTCATGCACACATGCACTAGTTCTCTCTCAAATAAATCTTTAAAAAATAAAAAGCCACAATGAGGGGCACCTGGCTCAGTCAGTACAGCATATGACTCTTGATCTCAGGTCATGAGTTCAAGCTCCATGTTGGGCATGTAACCTATTAAAACAACAACAACCCACAATGAGACACTGCAACTCAAGCAATAGAATAGCTAAAATTAGAAAGATTGACCATGCAGGCTGGGGGGGGGGGGGGGAGGGAAAAAAAGATTGACAATACAAAGTGTTGGTGAGAATACTCCAATACTGTTTGTGGGAATGTAAAATGAAATGACCTCTGTTGAAGACAGTTTAGCAGTTTCTAATAGGGTAAAATATAAACATAAGAACTGAGGAATTCCACTCCTGGGAATATACCCACAAGAAAACCATATGCCCTAAGCATTCTAAGTGAAAGAGCCATACACAAATGAATACTGTATGATTCCTTTTTGTGAAATTCCAGAAAATGCAAACTAATCTACAATGACAGAAAGCAGGTCATTGGTTATCTGGGACCAGGTGTGGTGGGAGAGGTTAACTATAAAGGGCCATAAGGAACTTTCTCGAGCAATGGAAATGTTCTGCATCGTACTTGTCATGGTAGTTACATAGGTATCACCTTTCAAAATTCAACTGTACACTAAGTGTAATTTATTGTATATAAATTAAATCAATAAAGTGGATAGAATGACATTAAGCTGTACACTTAAGATTTATGCTCTTTGGGCACCTGCGTGGCTCAGTTGGTTAAGCGTCCATCTCTTGGTTTTGGTTCAGGTCATGATCTCAAGGTTGTGAGATGGAGCCCCACGTGGGGCTCTGTGCCCGGCATGGAGTCCGCTTGCGTTTCTCTCTCCCTGCTCATGCACATGCTCTCTTTCTCTTTCGCTCAAATAAAATCTTTTCTAAAAAAGATTTATGCTCTTTATACAGTTGAGAAAGAGAGAAGCTGCCGCTGACATGTAAGAGCTAGCCTGGTACTGTGAACGAGATCTTGCTGTGAATTCACATAACATCAACAGCAGAAAGGCAACCTTGGGATCCTAGTGGATCAAGACAAAAACAAGATCACCCTGTAATCATATCTAAACACAGATAAACATGAACATTATTCAAGCCACAAAATGCTCAACACTCCTGGATAATTTGAAGGCTACTTCTTTACCAATTACAATCTTAGCCTTCCTTTAGTCTTCTTTCCTTATGGATAAGATTAAGATATGCAGTTATAGAATTGCCCTGATTCCTGACATCCAATCCAGAACAAAGCCTCACTTCCTTAAACCTTCTCTAAATCAATAAACACAAACCCAATGTTGTGTGTTCCCCTTTGCTGCAATGAGCAGTAAACCCAACTTGTTTGACCACAAGGAATGTTCCTGGTGGTATTTGGTTGTAAGACAATGACACGTTTTACTATACAAAACCTCAATAAAAATGTTAGCATGAAAATAAGCAGGGTATTGTTTAGGGTTCATATCTTGGGGGAAAAAAGTTTTGAACTGACTGACCATAAGCTAATTTGGATTTAACACCAAGGAAGTTGTTCATTCACTTAAAGCCTTAAGATCACCTGTGATAATGTCCTTTCGTTCAATCAGTGAAAACAGGGAACTAATTACTTTCCATTTTTGCTGTAAGTCATTAACAGATTGTTTCAGGCTGAACAGTCAGTCCTTTATTCTCTTTAAAAATACACCAATTCCCTTAATATAACATTTCTTCATTCCTGAGTTCTAAAAGAACTCTAAAGATCCCCCACCCCCCTGAAAGGCACCAGACTCTGTCAGAGTACAGTTGTGGCTTACAAAAGAAAGCAAAACCGGTTGTACTAAATAGGTAAATTAGCACAGGTGGTTTTTTTTTTTTTTGCATTCATAGAAGGGATTAATGAGTCATCTCAGGAATCTCCCTAGTTCAATAAACAATGTATTACACAAATGTCAACTATACTTCAATTTTAAAAGAATATATTAAACATTTATAATAGTCACAAACTGGAAACAAAAGAGGTAAATGGGTAAATAACTGGGAGGTGAAAATCAATGTAATTATAATATCCACCCAATTTTCTATGTTGTCACTTAAAATTTTAATATGGCCTGTCAATTATTTTTCTTATAGTTTCACTTTTTTAAAAGATTTTAAGTAACCTCTACACCCAATGTGGGGCGCGAATTTACAACCGCAAGGTCAAGAATTGCATGCTCTGCCCCTTTTAGTTTCACTTTGGTTCCATTTCATCCATTAGCTGACGACTTCCATTTGGAGTAGGGCATTATCTTGAATTTTTCCTGGATCCTTTTCATATAACTGAATGAAAGACAAGGAATGGGATTTGGGGGTGGGACTAAGGAATAAACTGCAATGTAATCAATACATCTCTTTGGAAAGGGCTGAACTGCCCTGTGATTAAAAGAGTAAAGTCCTGGGTCATTACATTTGTGTGAGTGGTAGATGGGGAGAGAAAGCCCTTTTGCCTTAGTACATGTGTTTTAATATGTTAAATAAGAACCAATATAAAATGACCCAACTTACCTTTATACTAAAAAAAAATTACATTTTTTCTCTTACCTAACAGTTTTTCATTCCTTCATTCCCAACCACAGAATAGTATGTCCTTTAAGAGTATAAAACTGGGGCGCCTCGGTGGCTCAGGTCCTGATGTCCTGGGATCGAGCCCTGCATTGGGCTCTGGGCTCAGCAGAGAGCCTGCTTCTCCCTCTCCCACTCCCCCTGCTTGTGTTCCCTCTCTCACAATCTGTCAAATAAATAAATAAAATCTTTAAAAAAAAACTTATTTGAAGTATGTATCATTTTCTAAAGTGTGAGCCTAACGTGGAATCCACTGGATGGTGATTATTCCAAATGTGTCTGCAGCCCATGAGGTAGGATTAAGTGGGTAACTGCAGGGACTGAACAGCAGTTGAGTAAGTATGTTGTAATAGTTTCTCATTTACTACTTTCCGTGGGAAAGCGTTATTTTAGGGTCTCATTTTCAATGTGCAAACACTACCTTTACCCATTACATTAAAAAAAAATTGGACAGGTCATGAACCATTTTATCCTGGACAAAAAGACCCGAAAAACCAACCACCCTATTTTCTTCAATAGGCTGTTAGATTTTACTTGCTATTTCAATTGGAATATTCATAAACCGTAAGTACGGTGGATTATTTTTATAGCTGATTTGATGTCCTTTACCAAATTTCTGGAGACTTAGATTTTATGTTAGATATTCTGATACTAGAGGAATCATGTATACCTTTTTTTTTTAAGACTTTATTTATTTATTTGAGAGAGAGAATGAGATAGAGAGCATGAGACGAGGGAGGGTCAGAGGGAGAAGCAGACTCCCCGCCGAGCAGGGAGCCCGATGTGGGACTCGATCCCGGGACTCCAGGATCATGACCTGAGCTGAAGGCAGTCACTTAACCAACTGAGCCACCCAGGCGACCCCATGTATACCTCTTTAATTAGCTATTTTTATTGGTTCTTACTTTATTCAGGAAAACACTGAGGATTTCAGCCATGCTTTAAAGAGCTGAATATAAACACACACAGTACAATGCTGAATGTCAAAACACAACAAAAAAAACCATTTCCCATGTCTTACTAAATCGAAGTAGAATACATGTATACACGTCTAAAAAGTATTTAAGAAAATAATGCTTTTCCACAATTTCAGATATAGTATAAAGAGCTGAATATAAACATTTCCTCGTCTTACTAAATTAAAGATGAATAAATATGTATATATACATACAAAAATATTTTTTCCCAGGACTCAGGTCTATCATAAAAAATTGAGTATAACCTTTAAAAAACAGATATGCATGAAGTTTCTTATTTTACTCAAAATCCAGGGACAGGGCAGCTCTGCATCATTTCACCAGTTCAACAGTGTCAAGGATGCAGGTAATTCCAATCTGTCCCCTGTGCCAATCTCAGCCTCTCAGGTATCAGACATATAGACATGCATCCTGTAACATAAGGCTACTTCCTCCTATTGTTAGGAAAGAAAATTTAACCTAAAGCCTACTTGCAGACTTTTGCTCAGATCTTGTATGGCCAGGACTGTCACATATATGCCCAGATGCAAAGCAAACTAGGTGCAAGACCTAGACTTTAGATGGGCAGCAGGCAGTCCTGGCAAAGGGAGAATGGCTAACACCAATGGATAGGCAACCAACAGTGTCTGGGGCAACAATATTGCCTTCTTTCTTTAAAACTCCTTTTTTGTAGTTACATTTCCTTTCATTCATGATGGCTGAGGGTTTTTTTCCCCCCATTTCAAAAAGTTTTCAAGGTTTTTTGTTGTTTTGTTTTGGGCTTTGCTCTTAATTAGAGCTTTTCTACACACTAGAGTCAAATGCTTATTCATTTACTCTCTCATTTCTCAGATTTCAACAAGTGTTTACAGGGAACCTATTAGAACAGGCAGTGCACCAAGTACATTGAACTGACAATGAATTGTGGCCATTAACTGTCTGCATTTTCTACACATATTAAAAGAAGTTAATTTTCCTAAGTATAGCTCTGTTGCATCCTACAACTTTCAACATGGAGGTTTTTTTTTGTCATTCACTCCGAATTGTAACTTGCCTTGATTTCCTTTCCCCTAGTGAGGCAAGAGGGCAAGGTGAATGAACACTTCAGTTTTCAATTTTTTTCCAGAAGGAATTACCTGACATTCAATAAAGAGATGATTTAAGATGTTCTGATAGTCATGGTACACATAAGGCCTTCCTCTCATATGATGTCTATCCACAAATATGAAAATAAATCAGCTCTTATTTAACTCACTTTCAATACGAGCCATACAGTATTCTATGGGATATAATGTAATTATTTAACTTCATAATGCTAACAAGATGGTACTAATTAATATTACTAATTTATAAGTGAGAAAGTTTAGACCTAGTTAAGTAATTTGCCCTATAAGCCAAGTAAGGACTGAGCATTGGTTAAATCCTTTCCCAATCTGCCTCAGTTCAGGTTAATTTTAGAAGATGAGCTTGCAAATATTAAGATTTGAACGGGAAGAATTTGCTGCATTTTTAACATTACTGTATGTAGCCTTCCTCAAGTATGAATTATGAGACAAGTAATTTGTTAGCTAAAGCAAATTGGTCTCCTATATTTATGACATTTATATTATGAATCCTCTGATTTCCCACAGGGCAAATGACCCTGATGTTGAGAACCATTTGTATGACTGTCTCTGACACATTAACTGCCTTCCAAAGCCTTCCCACTTTCCTTACATTCATGGGATTTTTTCACTTTTATTTCAACTGAACCCTGATGTCTAATAAATTTTGAAACATAAATAGAACCCTCTCAATCTCTAACATTTATAAAGTATCTCAGCATTAACACGTCAAATAAATTCTGGCCCTCAAATAAAGGCCCTGTATCCACACTGTGAGCTCTGATATTGTTATCTTCAAAGGCTTTCCCACATTCCTTAAAATCAGAGGGTTTTGTTTGTTTTACTAGTATGACTTTGCAGATGTCAGTAAAATTTTGAGCCTTCCCATGACTTCATTCACTCCTCTTTCCTGTATGAATTCTTTGATGTTTACTAAGGTGTGAGCCACGAATAAAGGCCTTCCCACATTGCTTACATTTGTAAGGTTTCTCACCAGTATGAATTTTCAGGTGTCGATTAAGTTCTGAGCCACGACCAAAGGCCTTCTCGCATTCCTTACACTTATAGGGCTTTTCACCACTATGACTTCTCTCGTGATGAGTAAGTTCTGACTTTCGAATAAAAGCCTTTCCACATTCCTTACATTTATGGGGTCTCTCACCAGTGTGAACTTTTTGATGTCGAATAAGTTCTGTGCTACAAGTAAAGGCCATTTTACATTCCTTACATTTATAGGGTTTCTCTCCAGTGTGAGCTCTCTGATGTCGAGTAAGTTCCGAGCCACGACGAAAGGCCTTTCCACATTCCTTACATTTATATGGTTTCTCACCAGTATGAACACTCTGATGTCTAATAAGATGTGAATCAGAGATAAACGCTTTCCCACATTCCTTACATTTATGAGGTTTCTCACCAGTATGAATTCTTTGATGTAGACTCAGTTGTGAGGCACAACTATATACCTTTCCACATTCCTTACATTCATAGCGTCTTTCACCAGTATGAATTATCTGATGAAGACTAAGCTGTGTGTCGTAACGGAATGCTTTCCCACACTCCTTACATTTATGGGGTTTCTCACCAGTATGGATTCTCTGATGTCGAAGAAGATGTGAGGGACGGGTAAAGGCTTTCCCACATTCCTTACATTCATAGTATTTCTCATCAGTATGAATTCTCTGATGTAAATTAAGTTGTGAGGTAGATGGAAAGGCCTTCCCACACTCCTTACATTTATAGGGTTTCTCACCAATGTGGATCTTTTGGTGTTTACGGAGTTGTGAGTTAGAATGAAAGGCTTTCCCACATTCCTTACATTTATGAGGTTTCTCACTAGTGTTAATGCTCTGAGGTTTAGTAGTTTCAGAGCCACGGATAGAGGCACATTTCTTATTTTCTTTACTTTTTTTGCTTTCATGAATTCTCTGATGCTTAATCAAGTATGACCTACTATTAAAGGCTTTCCCACATTCTCCACATTTAGAGTCTTTTTCCTTATTATGACTTCTCTCATGTTCAATATGGAGTGATTGGCACCTGAAAGCTTCCTTACATCCCTTGCATTCGTAGGTTTTCGCTCTGGTATGAACTATGCACTGAATGGAAGTGGACCTTTCTTCAGAGGTTATTATGGCTTGTCTGAAATGCCCCTCCTGTTGTCTCTCCAAGTGGCATTTGATTTCTCTGTTATTTCTGACCCTAGTGCACTCAAGGTCAGAGCTCGTAAGTCTTTTTATCTCCAGGTGCAATGATTTAATTTTGTAACTGTGCTCCTTTGGAAATAAATTCTTGGTTACTCTTCTGGACTCCCAATCTGTAAGATAACAAAAAAGAAAACAGAAAGTATTTTCATGTGGCAGGAGAAAGGAAAGTTCTAAGGTAGAAATGACAAACTAAAAATAGTGAATAATTTAATAGCTCTTAACATAGCACGGAAATTTGGGGAAAAAAAAAAAAAAAAGCCCGGGGTCAGGGGTGGGGGGAGGAGATGAGAATAGAGAAAATGAGGGGAACTTGTGAAGGAAGTAGTTCTTCACCTCTGGTGAAAATCAGAATCAGCTGAGGAATGGTACAAATACGATGTCCAGGAACCACCTAAGACCAACTAAGTGAGAATCTAAGAGTAAGACATTACATCTAATAGCAAGTCCTCTCATCTCTAGCTTCAAAATATATGAGATCTTGACTACTTCTGTCTACCAGTATCTCTACCACTTTGCCCAAAGCCATCTCTCACCAAGGTTAACACACTTTCTTAACAGGTCTCCCTGCTTTCCCTGTTGCCCTCCTAATATCCCATACCTAACACAGTAGCCAGAGTGTTCTTGTTAAGTAAGTGAGATCAGGCCTTTCTTCTGCCTCAAAGTCTCCACTGGATTTCCCTCTTGCGCAGAGTAAAAGTCCAAGTCCTTACGCGGTCTACAAAACCCTCCCTGACCTGTCTCATGCTACCCTCTTTCTGACCTCATTGCCGATCTCCTCTCTTCAGCTGACTCTGCTCCAGCTCCCTGACCAACTGGATGTTATTCAAACTTGTGAAGCACATTCCTCCTTCAGAATCTCTGCCTGCAAATATCTTCCCTAAGAATATGGCTTGTTCGAGTACTTCATCCTGACCGCTACTCAAACATGAGACCACTCTTTACAAAACAGGCCTCTCTTACTCTACTTACTGTATTTTTTTGCAGTGCACTTATCATCACATATCATTTTATCTATTTCCCCAACATTATTATGAGAACTTTCAAGATACAGAAAAATTAAAAGAATTGAGACAGTGAACTCCCATATTCCCACTACCTAGATTCTATAAAAACATTTGGCTCTCCTTGCCTTATCACCTTTCTCTCTCTCCATCCATCCATCTTGCAGACATCAGTATACTTCACCTCTAAACTCCACAGATATTATACTTTAACTTGTTTACTTCTGTATTGTCTGTCTGCCCTTCAGTGTATCTGTACAGAGTAAATACTATTTGATGAATGAATGGCTATTGGCATTTTTATTCATCTCTCTCAGTGATTCAGAGGCAACTCAAGGTGTGGGAGTCACTGTTTAAACACAGTACATCCCATCTGTGCTTATAATAAAATACAACATTCCTTACTAGACCTGCAAAACTCTGCACTGTTTGGACCCTGCTTCCCTAATTCACCTTCATTTTAAGATGCTCTCACCTTCACTCACTAGGTACCTCTCTACTGGCCTCCAGTGGACTCCTAGATCAAGTCAATTACGATCTCATCTTAGACTCTTTTAGGAAATGCTTTGTTTGCCATGAATGCTCTGCTCCAGAATCGCTGCATGCCCAGTTTCTTTCATTGTAAGTATCTTAATTTTCTGTCAAGTACGCTGTTTTTTTGCCTTCATAATCTTTTTCTTAATTCTGGAATTACACATTTGTTCATCAGTTTATCTACTGGTATAATTTCTCCCAAAGTGGCCCAGAACTAGCATAATACTTATTTCACTCACCATGATATAACCAATTCCCAGCACATAGTTCAATTAACAAGCCAGCACCACTAGGGTGTCTCTGTACATGTGTTATACCAGTCCCCTGGAAGACTGATAGCTTTACACAACAACCATGAGAATCTTTTATGTAATTCTGAAAAAATTCTAATGGAAACTAAGAATACCAAGGCAACCATTTATGAGAGGTTGTATGGTGTTGTGACAACACAGAGCCACACTGCTTGGGTGTGAATCCTAGTCCCATGACTTGCTAGTTGTATGACACTGGACAGTTACTTAACTACTCAGAAATTAAGAAGGCTGAGATAAAAGGAGATGCTCCGTGTAAGCTGTCAGAGCTTGTGCAGGCACCTGCTGTTTAGGACAGTCCCTTTGTTCTTGCTAAGGTCCAGGGTGGTTGGACCAGTCAAAAGCAAGTTGCAGAAAAGACAAACAGTTGGGAAATCTAGAGAGATGAATAAACCTAGAACAATTGGTAAGAAGAAAAGATTCTTCTGTGATTAATGTATGATCTATATCTGCAATCTAATGAAAATGCAACACTACACAGTTGTCCTTCAGAGTAGGGTGCTAAAAGCAAGGTCTGTATGATGACTGGTAACATGATGTTGGCATTTTATGCTGTATGGGAAGTTCCAGATGTCAGATGTCAGAAGATGCTGTTATTTTAAATACTTTGGGGAAAATAAAAACTATCTGTTAGAGAAGGAAAACTGTAAAAAGCATGGATTCAAATAATAAATTTGGACCTTAAAGGAATGCTCGGATCAAAAAGTAACATCTATCAAGGATGCTCCCATTGCTCCTCTCCTGCACAATCACTCCTCAGAACTACAGAATCATTCCCCTAAATTGATCTTCAGTCTCTCTGATGACCGTATTCCGTGGTCTCATTCTAGCACAAGGCCAAATCACCTGGACTTCCCAAACAGGCTCCTAGCAAGTTTCACCATTTTCACTCAGGAATCTGATTCAATCTCTACAGGAAGCCAGAGAGAGGTCTTAGAAATCCAATCCACTCATGTTCCTATCTTGTTTAAAACTTTCAGTGGCTTTTTTAAGAAAAAAAATCCAAACTCCTAGACTTGGTGAGAAGGCCCTGCATGATGTGGACCTCCATTCAGGTCTTCTAGGACACCCACTCATGACTTTCTCTCCTTGGGGCCTTAAATGAGTAAGTTCCTCCACCTTCTACAGCATTCCAACCATATTGCCTAGATCCTCCTACCTCTCCTTCCAGCTTCACATCATTTGTCATGATCTGAAAAGTCTTACCAGTCTGGTAATATTGACCCTAATATTCTCTCACAGCTGTCCCTTACCTATAACCATCTCCCCTAAAAAGACCCTCATTTCTCTGGCCATTGTACAGGCCAGGTTTCTCAAAAAGAAAACTTGCAGGGTTATCAGTGATTAGGGATTTAAATCAGCCCTTAAGTCAGCATACTTCCTAACCCTAGCTACTTCCTAGGTTATTCATTGTTACCTTTTATTTCCTTCCAGTGTTTTGTAGCATCCTTTTTATACAACCAAAACAGCACTGACTCTGAAAGTTCTGTATCTGGCTTTATTCAACTAAGCATTATAGCATGTTTCAAAAATATTTTATAAAAAATATCTAAAATACTGAAGGTTCTGTATCCCAATTGTGGTAGTAGTTATATAAATCTACAAATGCTGTAAAATTTCGTAGTAATATACACCAAAAAATAAAAAAATAAAAAAATAAAAAAAATAAATGAGTGTATATGAAAATCGGTGAAATCTGAATAAGGTCTACTTATAGTTTCATTACTACTATTGTGCCAATCTCCCGGTTTTGACAGTGTACTAGGATTAGGTAAGATGTTATCATTAGGGAAAGCTGAGAGAAGGGTACAAGGGAACTCTCTGTATTATTTTTGTAACTCCTCTGAATCTTAAATTATTTCAAAATAAAAAGCTAAAAAGAAATGGTAACAGTTATAAGCATGTATATACCTAATAAGAGAGCCCCAAAGTACATGAAGCAAAAACAGAATTGCAGAAAAAACAGACGATTCAACAAATTGAAGACTTTAATGCTCTACTTTCAATAATGGATAGAGAAGATCAACAAGGAAACAGAAAACATGCTCTTAAATAACTGATGGGTCAAGGAAGAAATCACAAGAGAAATTAGAAAATGCTTAGAAAAGGAAAACTTAATATACCAACACTTATGGGTTACAGTTAAAATAGATCCTAAAGGGAAATTTACAGCTTAAAATGCCTATATTAAACAAAAACAAAAACAAAACCCCCAAACCCAAGAAAGATCTCAAATCAGATTATGGAACTAGATAAAGAACAAAGTAAACCCAAAGATACCAGAATGAAGAAAATAATAAAGATTAGAGGGTAGATGAACAAAATAGAAAGAACAGGGAAATCAACATAATTCTAAGTTGGTTCTTTGAAAAGATCAACAAAACTGTCAAACCTTTAGCTAGACTGACCGAGAGAAAAAAAAGACAAATACTGGTATCAGGAATGAAAGAGAGAGATCACTACCTACCTTACAGAAATAAAAGTCTAGGGCTGGGGGGTAGAAGTGACTGCTTATGGGTATGGGGTTTCATTTTGGGGTGATGAAAAGGTTCTAAAATTAGATTGTTGTCACAGTTGCAAAACTCTGTGACTATATTAAAAACCACTGAACAGTATACTTTAAGTAAATTTTATTTTATTTTTTTTAAGTGAATTTTAGAATATGTGATTTCTATCTCAAAAGAGCTAGCTGCTTTAAAAAGTCAGGACAAAACTGGACACAAAGTACAGGGAAAATTGTCTCATGGGAAGGAGGAAGGCACTTCCTTCCTGAAATCAG